ATATAAATAATATTATTTATTTATTATTATTATTTTTTTGGTTGAGCTTTTTGCCTACTGGATGTGCACACTTTTTGTCAGATTTTTGCTAATGCAATTTCATTTGACTGATTCCGCACCTTTTCTGTGTCAACAATCAAGTTAGCAAATTTGTGACACTTGCCATTCTTTGTACAGAAGGTTAGATATACTTGCTTCCAGTGAAGCACACTTTGCTGTATTAAGATGCTTTATGTCTGAATCGTATTTTGCAACATCAACACTTCAGTTATTGAACTGAATCAAATTAACACTGAGCTGAGTAATGACACTCGTGTTTTTTTAGAGCTGCTTTACAGCAGAATCCGGACTGTTTCCATAATTGATTCTGCTGTTTTCCTGTTTATCACTACGAAGTTGCTGTTTTGAAACAATCTGTATTGCATACAGAATATAAATAAAGATGACTTGACTTTGCTCTTTGGAACATGCTGGATAACATGGATCCTCAGTTTTTTCACAAACCTGCGGCTTTGCTCAAGTAAATGCTACTTGAAGAAAAATGGAGATTTTGAATTCGATGCTAATATTTTAATTTACATAACTTTCAATGCTATATGTTATGCTAATAATATCATCTGTAAAGGCAAACAATATAATAAATGAGAAAATATAAGCATTTTACAAGTGCAGTTTTAAACCTCACTGTTTAAGTTGGAAAAAATATGGTTTTACAGGTTGTTGGTTAGTTTTTAGTTTTGTGTGTAACACTGTTTGATTAATGTATTTCAGATGGAGCAGCCATACTGGTCAGTTTGGTCACTCGGGCAGTACTTCACCATCATCACTTCCACAGTCCTGTTCACAGTGTGTCCTTCTCCCCTGATGGAAGGTCAGCTATTACACACAGCGCTTATTATCTCTGTAATATGATTTTATGCATGAACAGCTCTTATTACATTTTCCCTGGTCGTGTTCCTTTGTTTTTTTTTAAAGGAAGTTTGTGATAACAAAGGAAAACGTGGCTCTGATGTATCATGCACCTGGAAGAAACCGAGAGTTTAATGCATTTGCATTAGACAAGAGTTATTATGGGCCATTTGATGAGACAACGTGTATCGACTGGACAGATGATTCCAAGTGTGTAACAGATTTTTTCCGTATCCTTTAATGTATGAATACTGCCGCAAAAAACATTCACTTTTTATTGTGCATTACTTCCTTACACTCTTAAAGGAACAGTTCAGCCAAAAATGAAAATTTGGCAATCCTTTGCAGTGAATGAGTGCCATCAGAGTCCAAACAGCTGAATAAAACATTACAATAATCCACAAGTATCCACATGACTTCAAACCGTTGCTTCTGGCCAAAATACAAGTCCATAATCTGTAATAACTTTCATTAGTGAAAAAGTCCATCTACTGTTGTCTTCTCATATCAAAATCCACCCACATATTTGTTTAGACCTGTTTTGGCTTGTAAACACTGCTTGATCTATGCATATTTCTCTCCTGACTCAGATGAGACACCTTTTTCACTGGAGAAAGTAATATTATGAATAGAGGGCTTCTTATTGGAAACAATGGTTTAAAGTAAAACTGTCTTGATGGATTTGTTTCTTACGAACACTTAACTTTTCGCTTCACTAGGTGATGATTTATTGACTGGAGTCATGTTGATTGCTTGTGGATTATTTTGATGTTTTTATTATTCGTTTGAACTCACATTCTGATGGCACCTATTCACTGCAGAGGATCAATTGGTGAGTAAGTGATGTAATGCTAAATTTCTCCAAATCTGTCCCACGAAGAAACGAACTCACCTATATCTTCGATGGCCCGAGGGTTAAGTATATCTTTTAACTAATTTACATTTTTTGCTTAACTGTTCATTTTAGGGATCTTCATAGAGCATGTATAAATATTTGTTTAATGCATTAACATAAATGAATATGAGATTTAGTGTCTGTTCATTTTTATTTACTGGTTTTCCAGATGATGCTCTAGACTAGCCCTGACTTTTCTATGATTTCTGTAGTAGGGTGTTTGAAATGTAATGAACCGCAAACAGTGCAGGTGGGAATAATTGAAATTATTGGACCGTATTTTACCAGTATGTGACCGATTCAACTCTTGTTCTCCTTTGCTGATAACTAGGTGCTTTGCTGTGGGTAGTAAGGACATGACCACCTGGATCTTTGGAGCAGAGAGATGGGCGAATCTCATCTACTACTCGCTCGGTGGTCATAAGGACATCATAGTGGGCTGTTTCTTTGAGAACGACAGCTTAGATGTACGTTTGTAAAAAAGTGTCTGCTGCATTTGTGTAGCACCGGGGTGAATGTAAAGTTTGTTTTTGCATTGCTGTAATGGCTTACCTGAGCTCGCATATGCCACCTTTAAGCTATTTAATTTGTTTTCACAGATGTACACAGTGAGCCAAGAGGGCACTTTGTGTGTATGGGAAAGTGACACTGAGCTCGAGGGCTTACGGAAGGGCCCAAAATATTCTGAGAGAAAGAAGATGGAGGAGGAGAAAAAAAAGAGAGAAGAAGGGGAAAGCAACGAAGATGATGATGTTGAGGATATTGTAGGGGAGGATGGAGAGACCAGAGGAGATGTGATTAAAGGAAGCGCAGATACACCAAAACAAGTGGAAGGCATCAAAAATGTCCGCTATTCACAGAGGAGCAAGTGAGTTTTTTTCCCCCTCTGAAACTCTGCTTATTTCTTCAATCTATGGGTCTGTTCTTTAGACTTGTTCACACCAAGATCAATGTTCTGGTTATAAAACATGGCAAAAGCTCTAATGTCTCTGTAATTACATTTTAAAGCTGTCTTTTATTGCAGACACTATTTTAACAAGGCCGGTGATTTCAACAAGTTAACAGCTGCAGCTTTCCACAAGAAAACACACATCCTTGTGACAGGTTTTGCATCTGGAGCATTCCACCTGCATGAGCTGCCAGAATTTGACCTCATTCACTCACTCAGGTTTGTCATATATTTCCAGTGAATATTGTATTTGTCAAAAATCTCCAGCAGGGCTGAGACTAAAGAGCTATTTTTTATGAATCAGACTGCACTGCTCGCAATGTATGTTATTGTGTGCAACCCACGGGGGGCAATTCAATAGAAAGATGTGTTTTATAAAGAGTGAAAGATCTTGGGAGTTTTAATAAATGATATAGAAAATGTTCAGATGAAGATTGCTAAATTTTTGCCTAGCCCTAACAACCAGAGTATTGTGTATTTAATGTATATTCAGTCTCAGTCACAACAAGTGTTTGTGACTACATTGCTGTGGTTTTATTCCATGCTGATTATTGAATTGTAATGTAGCATAATATCACATCTAGTATTTCAGATCAGAGGATTTCTACCATTGCTATGAATCCCACTGGTGACTGGATTGGCTTTGGCTGCTCAGGTATTGTTGTCGACCAGGTTTGTTCATCAGAGCACAACAGTATGCTGTCCTGTGCTGTAATGCCTTGTTTCTGTCCTGTGTTAAAGGCCTGGGCCAGCTGCTGGTCTGGGAATGGCAGAGTGAGTCCTATGTGTTCAAACAACAGGGACACTTCAACAACATGAACTCTTTGGCTTATTCACCTGATGGTCAGTATCTTGTTACTGGAGGGGATGATGGAAAGGTAAGTCTTCTACCACTAGGTTTTTGTCGAGGGAATAAATAAGAGAGATACAGTTACACTGTTGCTTTCCAGGTTAAAGTGTGGAATACCAACAGTGGCCTCTGTTTTGTGACGTTCACTGAACACTCCAGCGGTGTCACCAATGTTGCCTTCACCTCCAGTGGCTTTGTGGTGGTCAGTGCCTCACTAGATGGCACTGTTAGAGCATTTGACCTGCACAGGTATCAACTGTTATCCATTTCCAACTATGTACTCACTGTTGCACAATACTTCATGCTTGGGTTTCCTCTGTAATGTTTATTACTTTAGCCTTTATTTTCATATTCTTTTGTGCGTCTCTTATGGCATGTTATAAATATAATATAAATATGTAAATATAAATGTGAATATAAATAAGATAAATGTGATTATTTACTTATTTAAAAAAATATATATTTTCAGGGTTTGTTTTGGTCTAAATGAAAACTTGTTTTGGTTTTAGTGATTCAAAAAATATCAATTTGATTCACCACTTAAAAAAAAAGTCTGCCTGGTTTTGTTAATCCTATGTTCAAAACATGAGTGTTGAATCCATTGATTGTGATTTAAAAGTAGACCGCTCGAAAAATTATTTGCTGATTTCTCTGATTTATAGCTCTCTTTACTTGTAGACCTGTAAAGGTATCGCTTGTAGAAATATAGCTTGAAGAGAATGTTTCCTATGCACATTCTGCACTGCTGAACACTCTGCTCTCTCTTTATTCTTACTCTGTTCTCATTCTGTTCTCTCAGGTACCGGAACTTCCGTACCATGACGTCTCCACGACCGGCTCAGTTCTCCTCTCTGGCAGTGGACAGTAGTGGGGAGTTGGTGTGTGCAGGTTCTCAGGACTCCTTTGAGATCTTCCTATGGTCCATGCAGACTGGACGACTGCTAGAGGTCAGATACCACCGAATTAGCGTAACAAGTGCAATGTGTAATATCATTGTTTTTTGTATATAGTTATCAATTTGTCAATAAACAGTATAGTTTGTTGTAAATGGTTGAATATTAGAAATGACAGTTATTGGCAAACATATAGTTAGGCTTAAGATTTGGCTTTTGGCCAAGTGGGTCTATAAATTTCTATTTTAGCCAAGAATAATCATTTCAGTGCAAACATCATTGTTGAGCCTTGCAGGTTGATATGTTGAGTTCTTTGTAACTCTTTACTGCTGGAGCAGGTGCTCAGTGGTCATGAGGGTCCTGTCAGCAACTTGTGCTTCAGTCCAGTCCAGTCTGTGCTCGCCAGTGTGTCATGGGACAAAACAGTCCGCCTGTGGGACATGCTGGACAGCTGGCAGACCAAAGAGACCTTGCGACTCACCTCTGATGGCAAGTTCCCCAAGTGACCGTTTATGTAAAACTCTTTAGAGAGAAATGGAGCAGGTGGTTTGGAAAGAAAAGGATTTGTTATTTAAAGATGTCTTGCACCTGTCTTTATTCAGGACTGGCTGTTACGTATCGTCCTGATGGCCAGGAGTTGGCAGTTGCCTCTCTGGATGGTGAGATCACATTCTGGACCCCTCAGACTGGAGGACAGACTGGCTCTATCGCTGGCCGCCATGACCTGCAGATGGGCCGTAAAGAAACCGAAAAGATCACTGCTAAACAGTCTGCCAAGGGAAAGTATGTCACAGATAGTTACAAATATAAAGTGTATGTGTGTGTATACTAATATATATATATATATATATATATTAGTATTTGTATTTTACTGCCTGATAACAACCATCGTCATTAGCGACTCTGAATAATATACTATATATTTACACCATGTAGTATATATAGTTATTGACTGTGTTTACTGTAAAATGAAATGACTTCAGTTTTAATACTAAATCAATGCTTAAAAATGCTTTCTTCTCAAATAACAGTTTATGTCCTCCTTTTTATTTATGTGCTGAAAATTTTGTGTCTTATTATTTACTTATGTGGCAAGTAGCCGTGTAGTAAGTGGGAAAAGGGGATACAGATTAATGTACATAAACCCCTATCGTTTTATCCTGTGATAACAACTGTCTGGATTTACATTACCCCCAATAAACCTAATTTACCCTGCTGAACCTAGATGTATGTAAAACCCGCATTAATTACTTATTTCCTTTAACTGATTTGTAGGTCCTTCACCTCCTTGTGCTACTCAGCAGATGGTGAATCGATCCTTGCAGGTGGGCAGTCAAAGTTTGTGTGCATTTATAACATCAAGGAACATGTTCTGATGAAGAAGTTTGAGATCTCCTGTAATCTCTCTCTGGATGCTATGGAGGTACACGCACACTTATTAAGCAAACGTACTTGTATTCACTGCAGAAACAAACATTAAATAAAAAAATATAACAAACGTCCATTTTCATAATGTTAAGAGGATTTCTTAATAGCATATTGTATTCTAATAATTTATTTGTGACATATAAATGGTGCTTAAAAAATATAGAAGCATACTGTACGTTTCAGAACTCAAAACATCCTCATTAGTCCAAAAATTGCTTTTATTGAAACCAAGCTCCCAAAATGACTCATTTTCTACTTTTGAGTTTTTATTACGAAATAGAGAAATTTACACAAATCAACACCTACTACTTCATCACCTCTTTGACCTGCCCGTTGATGCTTTAGTGAATTGACAGGCATGAGAAATACCACATGATCACTGGACTACAACTAACACTACTTTTCAAATGATCCTAATGCTAGGAATGTGTCTCTTTATTTTTAACTATGTGAAGCATTATTTGTGCGGGTCATTTCATTGTGGATTATTTGGTAATTGGCAGAAATTGTGGCAAAAAGTTATGTTTAGGCCCTGGATGTTAGTAATTGTGCAGAAATTGAGTTGTGGTGAGATCATTGCATTCATGTAGAGCTGCAACCTTTGATGCAATAAAATCAGATCTAAACATAATGCTGTAATCAACATTTTTCACGATTACTTTATCTTGGCAGCTCTAATAGAGTAACATAGTACATGTTTTCAAAAGTGTGACATACATTTCTCATGTGCAGAGATGTTAGCCATCACATCAGGGGGTGTTTACATTGAAGTCTTAGTGAAGACACACCCATTTAAATGGTGTTTACATTTCTAAATTGACAGTTTTTGATGTAAAAATCATACTAACCTTATATGTGCACCTAAGGAAACACAGGAAATGCAGTTCACGACCCCTTTGAAGTTTAGTTTCCTATTTTACCTGTAAATCAACCGTAATCATGCAATATTCATTAAATTAGCATGTCATAATTATTTTACTGTAGCTTATGAAGTAATTCTGCCATGTTCTCCTTTTCTCAGGAGTTCCTCGACAGGCGTAAGATGACTGAGTTTGGTAGTCTCTCTTTAGTGGATGAAGGCACAGGGGATGGAGACGGAGTGGAGCTCAGTCTTCCTGGAGTCAAGAGAGGTGAGTCCACATCTCACTGATAGTAAACCTGCCAATCAATGTAGATGAGCATTTTGTTTTTAAGAGCACTGAATGTATTATTGGATATATAATGTTTACTGGCTATATAATATATACTGGCTTTTGCATGCACCTCTTATGTTCTCTCCTCATCTGTTAGGTGATATGAGCTCCAGACGCTTTATACCAGAGATCCGTGTTAGCTCTCTCTGCTTTTCACCTACTGGTAGAGTTTTTGTCTTTACAGCACAACACACTGATAGAGATTTTAGTATATTTAAAGGGTTAGTTCACCCAAAAATGAAAATTCTGTCATTAATTACTCACCCTCATGTCGTTTCAAACCCGTAAGACCTTCGTTCATCTTCGGAACCCAAATTAAGATATTTTTGATGGAATCTGAGAGCTGTCTGACCCTGCATAGACAGCAACGCAACTGAAATGTTCCCAAGTCCAGAAACGTAGCAAGGAGATCTGTAAAATAATCCATGTGACATCAGTGGTTCAACCGTAATTTTACGAAACTACGAGAATACTTTTTGTGCACAAAAGGAAAAAAAAACATGACTTTATTCAACAATTCGTCTCCTCCGCTTCACCCTAGCACCATTTTGGAGAGTATCCACTGGACGTAAACAATGCTGTTCTGTGTCAGCTGCGTCACGCCGGATCTGTTTCCTA